GTTAGAATGGCCCAGTCACAGTCCAGACCTAAATCCAATGGAGAATCTGTGGCAAGACTTGAAAATTGCTGTTCACAGACGCTCTCCATCCAATCTGACAGAGGTTGAGCTATTCTGCAAAGAAGAATAGCCAGAAATGTCCCTCTCTATTATTATTATACAGTATTTATATAGCGCCAAAAGGTTTGCTCAGCGCTGTACATTAAAGTGGGGGGACAGTACATGAGACAATACAGTAACAATATAATACACGAGGGGTTCGAGGGCCCTGCTCTTTCGAGCTTACAATGTAGGAGGGAGGGGAAAGTGGCACAAGAGGAAGTGGCTGTGGGGGATGGAGTGGTAGGAGGAATGTAGAGTGTAGATCGGCTGGTAGGTAAGGGTGGGGTAGGCTTCCCTGAAGAAATGTGTTTTCAGGGTGCGCCTAAAGGTGAGGAGGGTAGGTGACAGTCTGATGGATTGGGGTAGTGAGTTCCAGAGGATGGGGGAAGTCCTGGAGAAGTCCTGCAGTCGGGCGTGGGAGGTGGAGACCAGGGAGCTAGAAAGTAGGAGGTCTTGTGAGGAGCGAAGAGTACGGGTAGGGTGGTATTTGGGTATCAGGACAGTGAGGTAGTTTGGGACAGCGTTGTGAATGGCTTTGTATGTCTGTGTTAGTAGTTTGAATTTAATGCGTTGGGCAATCGGGAGCCAGTGGAGGGAATGACAGAGGGGGGTGGCAGAAGCGGAGCGGTTGGTAAGGTGGATGAGTCTGGCCGCTAAGTTCAGGATAGACTGAAGCGGGGATAGTCTGTGATGAGGTAGGGCCGGTGAGGAGGGAGTTGCAGTAGTCCAGACGTGAGATAATAAGGGTGTGAACGAGTAGTTCAGTAGTGTCTAGGGTTAGGAATGGATGTATTTTGGAGATGTTGCGGAGGTGGAGTCTGCATGAGTTTGCCAACGATTGGACATGGGGTTGGAAGGACAGGTTTGAGTCTAGAGTGATACCTAGGACTTTGGCTTGCGGGGTGGGACTGATGGTGGCGTTGTTGGTCATGATGGAGAGGGTGGGGGGGGGGGGAGGGGGGCGGGCTGGGGGGAAGATTAGGAGCTCGGCTTTGGAAAGGTTCAGTTTGAGGAAATGGAGCGACATCCAGTCTGATATGTCATTCAGCAGGTGGGTGATACAGGGCGGAGACTGAAGGGGTGGAGAGGTAAATTTGCGTGTCATCGGCGTAGAGGTGATAGTTTAAGCCGTGGGAGTGTATCAGTTTGCCGAGGGAGGAGGTATAGATGGAGAAGAGAAGGGGCCCGAGGACAGAGCCTTGGGGGACCCCGACAGAGAGGGGGAGAGAGGGGGAGGTGGTAGCATTATAGGTAATGCTGAAGGAGCGTTGGGATAGATAGGAGGAAAGCCAGGAGAGAGCAGAATCTCTGATGCCAAGGGAGTGTAGTTTATTAAGGAGGAGGGGGTGGTCAACTGTGTTGAAGGCCGCAGAGAGGTCGAGGAGTAAAAGGATGTGCAAAGCTGGTGGAGACATCCCCAAAAAGACTTGCAGCTGGATTTGCAGTGAGAGGGGGTTCTACAAAGTATTGACTCCGGGGGGCTGAATACAAATGCACGCCATCATTTTCCTTCCACGTCACAATTATGTGTGCCACTTTGTGTTGGTCTATCACAGTGTTTCTCAACATTTTTTCAGTCAAGGCACCCTTTAAAATTATAGACAGTCCCAAGGCACTCTTCAAAATTATTGACAGTCTGGAGGCACCCCATTAAAAAATGGGGTGCCTCTAGACCGTCCATAATTTTAAAAGTGCACCCCATTCTAAAGTGTGAAAAACTATTCTAATAGTTTTATATAACGCAGCAACATCCATATATGTAGGACACCCGAAATTAGAGGTGATTTATTCTTCCAAAGCAAATACACTTTTGCACACTGGTATTGACTAGTATGCCATTATTTCTCTTCTCCCTCAGTTTTTCTCCATCACTGGGCTAATGTGACCCCAGCACTGATGGGGAGGGGCAGGGGAGGGTCAATCTAGGATGCTGTGCAGGCAGCCGACATTCTCCTTATCAACTGATGTCATTGGTTGTCAGGACGCTGGCGGCTAGCAGGTCGTAATGGTGCTCAATGAAAACCTGTGACTTTGTGTTGCTAAAAAACAGACTTGTTCTACCCGCTGGCTTGTATCCAAGTTTTGGGCAATTTTTGGAAATTTTGCCAAGGCACCCCTGAAGAAACCTCAAGGCACCCTGGTTGAGAAAGGCTGGTCTATCACATAAAAATCTCAATAAAATATATTAATGTTTTTGGTTATAACATGACAATATATGGAAAATTTCAAGGGGTATGAATACTTTTTCAAGCCACGGTTTTATTTTTTAATTTTGCCCATGTTTCCACTTTATTAAATAAATTCAGCAGAAAGGGATGGAGTCGCCAAACGCACAACGGGCGTGCAAACTCGGGAACTTATCGTAAAGATCTCACCAATAGACTTCCTGAGAGCTATAAGAAATGATCAGGTGGGTAACTATCCAGTATCTACCAAAAAGTAGAACATAATGGCAAATTTTCGAGCCCGGCGACTGGCTGCTCAGGCCAGAGAACTGTCACATAGGGGAGGCCATGTGCTCCCCGTTACTCTCCCCTTCATTATGAACATAGGGAAAGGGAAATGGAAAACTGACTGACAGGAAGAACAGGAATGATGAGGGCTGAGCTGTAATTAATCATTACCGGATTCTGTTCCCATTTTTCTTGCATGGGTGGTACATGCTGAGACACATTCTCATGCCCAGGAACGTCAAGAGCCTGAGACTGCACAATGGGGAAGAGATCTATGCCAATTTAAAGGGACACCCAGAACATTTTGGAGATCTGTACAAGCCTGGACATAGATGGTGGATGTCTGGAGTCACCAGCTCCTGCCGTAGACACACCCAATATGCATGTGCCCATAGCATAGGAGTGGCCCAGCGTAAAGACTTGCGGAAGGGGCCCCCAACTTACAGTCTTGTACACAAGCCCACTGCGTTCAGAAAACAACCTTGCACCCCACGATAGGTCCCTCAATCATGACTGCAGGTATGTCAATCACGTAGGGTTGGCAACATGGTGGGAATAAACTGTAAAAACTTTATTTTGAATGCAGAGTATAAAACGTTCCTGAAGACAAGCGACACGAACACATTTCAGTAAAAAAAAGACCTTACTCCTAGTTAGTTACTTGTAGTGCACCACACCATTATATAGTGGCCTATCCCTCCCATAAGGGCCAATCATTAACCACTTCATGTTCGGACACTTTCACCCCCTTCCTGCCCAGGAAATTTTCAGCTTTCAGTGCTATCACACTTTGAATGACAATTGCGCGGTCATGCAACACTGTACCCATATGAATTGTTTAGCTTTTTTTTTTTAAGACAGATAAAACTTTATTTTGGTGGTATTTATTCACCACTGGGAATTTAAATTTTTTTTTTTGCTATATAAATGAAAAAGTCCAAAACTTTTGAAAAAAAAAGTGTTTTTCTTATAAAATTTTGCAAATAAATACCGGTAATCTTTCTTCATAAATCTTGGCCAAAATGTATTCATCTATCTTTTTAGGAAAAAAAAAAATCTCAAAATTAGTTTATAAAAAAAATTCTAATATTCAAAAAACATTTTTACATTTTTATTTTTTTTTTTATATTATTTATGGGTTTTGTTTTTTTTTTTACATACTGTCACCCTAGCAGTACAGTGTCACCATAGTGAAACTGTACTACTTGTGGGGGGTGATGAAGATTTTTTTTTCTTTTTTTACACTGATTGCTATTAGAAACCATAAAGGCTGTAAAAGCAATCATTTCTCCTTCTCTCTGGCTGCATTCTTGCAGCCATTGAGAAATACTGTGAGAGCTGTGATTTGTCACAGCTTGTCACATGGTACAAGGCTGCTGTGAATATCCTTGTACCATGTGACCTCGGTGATCATTCACAGATTTCACAAGTAGTAAGCAGTGATGTCAGAAGTGACATCTTGCTTACTACTCTTCATGTGATCACTGATTGGCCAATCAGCGATCACATAATCAGGACCTCACACAGAGGTCCTGTACAGCGATTGGTGTTCCGCTGTGTCTGGAACACAGGGAACACGCACAGCACAGGCAATGGATGTGGGGGGATGTTTAGAAATGTCCACCCGCATCGGCAGTGCTCCAGTCTGGCCGTTTATGTACATGGGCTGGATGGGAAGTGGTTAAAGATAGATGTATGAATGTAAGTTAGGGACCTTAGATTGTACGCCCCTTGAGGGTTAGGGACTGATGTGAATGTACAATATATATATGTAAAGTGCTGGGTAAATTATATAAGTACCTGAAATAGCCATCATCTGTCTCATCTAATGAAAAAGGGAAAGATGACCAATACTAACTGATGTTAACTGCTTCCCCGCCACCCTATAGCAGAACTACTGCTACAGGGTGGCAGGGCTACACAAAATCATGTATATATACACGTGATTTTTGCCTTTCTGGATAGGGGGCATGCGCGTGCCGCCCTTGGTGGCTACAGATGTCGATCACCAAGTCCCGGCCAGAGATTCCCCACTGGCAACCGACGATCGCTGAGGAACAGTGACAGGGGAGAGGTCTGTATGTAAACAACACAGGTCTCTCTCCTCCCAGCAAGGACATGCTGCTGTGTACTTCTCTGTTTCCCTAGTAAAACACACACAGCACACAGTTAACCCTTTGATCGCCCCAGATGTTAACCCCTTCCTGCCCAGTGTCATTAGTAGAGTGTCAGTGCTTTTAATTAGCACTGATCACTGTATTAGTGCCATTGGGATGTCAGTGGCAGTTAGTCAGTTCCCCCCAGTGTCAGAATGCCCACCGCAGTCCCGCTATAAGTCACTGATCGCCGCCATTACTAGTATAAAGAAATAAAAATAAAAAATTCCAGTATATATACACCGCCATTTGTAGACGCTATCAGGGGCGGACTGACAACTCATGGGGTCCCCAGGCAATAGGGGATCATGGGGCCCCTGTGTCCTTGCCCAAACTCAAAAAAGCCTATGAAAAAGGTACCAGGAGCATCTCATGAGGCCCCCTACTGACCCCGGGCCCTCGGGCAGTGCCCGAGTTTCCAAATGGTCAGTCCGCCCCTGGACGCTATAACTTTCACATAAACCAATAAATTAACACGCATTTGGATTTTTTTAGCAAAGACATTTTGCAGAATACATTTTGGCCTTAATGTATGACAAAATTTGATTTTTAAAATTTTTTTCACTTGCAATTTTTTTTTTTTTCAATCGCAAAATGTAAACTAAAAAAAATGGTCTTTTTTTTGTTTGTTCATAGCGGAAAAAAATAAAAAAACCACAAAGGTGATCAAATACCACTGAAAAAAAGGACATAGATTTCATTTGGGTGCAGCGTTGCATGCCCACGCAATTGCCAGTTAACGTAACGCAGCGCCGTATCGCAAAAAATGGCCTGCTTAGGAAAGAAGGGGGGGGGAAAGATCCTCTGGAGGGCAAGTGGTTAATGCTTGATAAATTAGACCTCCATATCCAACACAGTAAAAAATACATAAAGCAAAACGATGATAAAAATAGCAACCATAAATACAAATATAAGTACAAAACCTAATCAAAACATATAGTAGACAGCAAAAAACTGTCATCTGAGGAAGCGGCAATAAAAAGAGGAAACGTGCTACACAGGGCAAACGGTCTCAGCCCAGGTGCAGATCCAAATCCCATGTACGATTCAGCCTGGGTTCACATACATGCGGTGCGGTATATCGCATGTGATCCGTACAGGAACCGCACCGCATTCCTGTGTAAAATCACATGCCGTTTGTGTGCGGTGCGATTGGAGCCATACATTTTGTATGGTTCTATTCGCACTGTACCTGTACCAAAAAGTTGCAGGACCCTTTTTTGGGTCTGCACTAGAATCGGATTGCATGGGTATTCACACCTATGAGATCCGATTCTGCACCGCGCGTTTGCGGACTGATTTCGGGGTTGTTGTGAACTTAACATACACACCCGCAGCGGTTCGCATGAACGGGGTGCGATTCTGATGCGGCGAGAGCTTTAGGATAATGCCGTGCTATTGGTACCGGTGTTCTGTCCGCAGCGCCCTCATTTTGGCAATCAGTACCGCCGCTGTGCACATAACAAGAGGCTCCCAAGTGGATTTTAAATGGTTAAAAATAGCCAGCGTAGGCGTACTTCCTGATTGAAAACTTCAGAGAAAATGAGGGCGTAGTCACCAAGGGGTTAAGGTTTGAGTAAACCTTTGAACTTCATCGTGTGCACTGATACGTCATTGGGAACGCTCCATACACACAGATTACTTGTATCCTCATACGATTGGTTGTTTGTCCAGAGACCGTGTGGCTGGGAAATATAGCATAGGTAAACCCACATTTCCTAATCCTGATCTGCGCCTGCTGTACCATGTACTTGTATGAAAAAGTCTCCTGTTCCCTTTGTATTGCTTCCTTTATGTGAAATCCCTGGTGTTCCCGACAGTCCCTCTGCTTTCCTATTAAAAACTGACCACACTAGGGATGAGAGCACAGTGTGGTCAGTTATCTTCCTGTGCTGGGAAGTTAGCCTGCTCTCCTCCAAGAATCAGACTTGTCCTGACACCTTCCCCTCCCCCTTTCCCCTGCACAGTCATTCACTGGGAAGATCAGTGTACTTCTGTTTTTCCTCCCCCCCGGCTCTTATTCAGCTGAGAACAGATGCTATGTGATCACTTGTAAAAGCGCGCTGAGCATGAGGCCTTATGAGTGCAGCTTTTGGCTTCTGGCATTTTGCTCTAAAGTCAATATACTCCCCAAGACAAGCGTGTTTTGGCAGGGGTGTTTTTTGGCTGGGGAGAAAAAATAAAAAAATAGAACTACAGGCGTACCTCAGTTTACAAATTTACCATATTTTTCACTCCATAAGACACTTTTTTTCCCCCAAAAAAATGGGGGAAAATGTCTGTGCGTCTTATGGAGTAAATATGGAGTACCGGTCCGGTATTCCCGCCGTGTCTTCTCTACAGCAGAACCTGCTCCTCAGTCCAGCGGTGTCCTTGCGGTCTTCTTTCCCGGCGTGGGCATCTTTAGTGTGGGCACCCGGCTGTGACAGCTTGTGGCTTCACAGCCAGGTGCCCACTGCATGTGCAAGAAGCACTGCTCTTTGTGAATGGTCCGGCAGTCTTCTGGGACCTGTCACGTGCCCCAGAAGACGGGGAGGGAGAAAGTGGGAGTGGGTACCTGTCAAATTCGTTGACATGCTCCACCCCCCCCCTCCCCAAAGGTCCACAGTCTCTGGTCATCCCCTGCGCTGCGTCCGCAGCCTCAGGTCATCCCCTGCGCTGCGTCCGCAGCCTCTGGTCATCCCCTGCGCTGCGTCCGCAGCCTCTGGTCATCCCCTGCGCTGCGTCCGCAGCCTCTGGTCATCCCCTGCGCTGCGTCCGCAGCCTCTGGTCATCCCCTGCGCTGCGTCCGCAGCCTCTGGTCATCCCCTGCGCTGCGTCCGCAGCCTCTGGTCATCCCCTGCGCTGCGTCCGCAGCCTCTGGTCATCCCCTGCGCTGCGTCCGCAGCCTCTGGTCATCCCCTGCGCTGCGTCCGCAGCCTCTGGTCATCCCCTGCGCTGCGTCCGCAGCCTCTGGTCATCCCCTGCGCTGCGTCCGCAGCCTCTGGTCATCCCCTGCGCTGCGTCCGCAGTCTCTGGTCATCCCCTGCGCTGCGTCCGCAGTCTCTGGTCATCCCCTGCGCTGCGTCCGCAGTCTCTGGTCATCCCCTGCGCTGCGTCCGCAGTCTCTGGTCATCTTCTGTGCTGTGTCCGCAGTCTCTGGTCATCTTCTGTGCTGTGTCCGCAGTCTATGGTCATCTCCTGTAGTATGTCCGTAGTCTCTGGTCATCTCCTGTAGTATGTCCGCAGTCTCTGGTCATCTCCTGTACTGTGTCCGCAGTCCTTTGGTTCAGAATCTTTTTTTTAACCAATTAATCTGTTCCGGAGGTCAGAAAAGATGTTTAAAAAAAAAAAAAAAAAGTATTTTTTTTGGTTCAAAACTCTTTATAAAGTGCACTTTAAAAAGGCTTAAATACTGTACAGGGACATGATTAAAAAAAATTTCGTAAATGCATTGAAAACCAATTAATCCGTTCGTATTGTGGAAAAAATTTGTAAACTGAGGCATTATTTCAATGGATTTTCATTCGTAATCCGAAAATTACATTAACCAAGGCTTTCGTGGACCGAGGTACACCTGTAGTGAGTTTTAAGGAGCTTTTCAGCAGTAAAAACACTCTAATCCTGGTAAACGAGGTAAACCGGTGTTTTTGAGCCAAAACATTTATTGTGTGCTAAAAAACACGAATGTGTCTAAACCCCGATGCAAAAGCGTGGAAAAACTAAAAAAAAAAAAAAAACGATGTTACTGCGTCTTTAAACAGCTAAAGTTACTGACTTTTTAAAATGTCCAGTGTGCATGATGCCATAAAAAGGGGGAAAAAAAAGTATTTTTAATCATTTTGCCTTTCATTTCTATTTTGTTTGTTGAATGGGTTGTTTTATATGTTGAGGGTTCATATATACTGTACTGTAAGCCCTGGTTCACACAGGTGTGTTTTTTGGATGCGTTTTAGATCACAGTGATTCTCATGACATGGAAAATAAAACGAATTCCTATGGAGGTCGTTCACATCTATGCAGTCTGCAGGCAGTGCGTTTTTTTGAAAAAGCATTTTTGGGCTAATGCGATTTGATTTTGAGGTCCAGAGAGTTAAATGTAAATCGCATATGAAATGCTGATCTGTTCACATCACGTGCGATTATAGTTCTTTGGCAAGACTCCTTTGTGTTACTGCTTTCGAGAGACAGAGAGACCCTTGGGCATGGATCCAAAAACTGCAAATCGCTGGAAAAACGCGTTGCTGTCAAACTGAAGCGCAGCTGCTTCACACCGCAGGTGCTCCTGGAATCACACTTCAAAACCAAAGGAATTCGCACTGCTTCAGTGGGAACCCAGCCCACAGCGTATCTCTAGGCAAAACCTTTTTCTTCTCAGTTCGGACAGAAATGGAAAGATACTTATTGCTGTCTGTCCCCCGGGGGAGACGTTTATCGGCCCTCCAATTGTACTGATGACCACAGTCATCTAAAAAAGGTGAGGGTAATGGACGTTTATCGGCCGACCGTAAAATGGGGCAATAATCATCGGTCGATATTCATTCACACATTTTCGCAGTTCTCATTGTTTCTTTTTATCGGTCATACTGGAAAATCTACGAAAAACATCTGTTTTTCGTAAGCATTGGTGGCAGCAACGACCGATTTTTCATTTATCGGTCAACAATTCGGCCGAAAATCCCGTCTATGGCCAGCCAAAATTTAGTATTGCCCCCAGAACAAGAGGTGAGAAGAAATCCACGAATAGGGACATCTGTGCAGGTGGCACCTAAGAGGGAAATTTCCCTCACTTTGGGAGATATCTAGTGGTGCAATGAAATTAAAATTCTGGTGCCAAAACCAAAAAAATTTGGATGCACTTGGCCAAAAACCGAAACCAAAATGGACAGTTTTTAAAAATGGATATATTTTTCAAACATTGTTTTTGGAAACAAATATACTTTAATGAATAAAGAAAAGAAAACACAATATATACCCCAATTGTTTGTTAATTATGAAAAATGATGTTACGCCGAGTAAATAGATACCCAACATATCATGCTTTAAAATTGCGCAAGCTCATGGAATTGCACCAAACTATGGTATTTAAAAATCTCCATGGGCGATGCTTTAAACATTTTACAGGTTACCAGTTTAAAGCTACAGAGGAGGTCTAGTACTAGAATTATTGCACTCGCTCTGACGTTCACAGCGATACCTCACATGTGTGGTTTGAACAATGTTTACATATGTGGGCATGGCCTATTTATGTGTTCAACACTGCGCACAAGCACAGGTGGATGGGGCACTTTAAACTTTTTTTTTTTTATTATTATTTTTTTTTTCATTACTTTTTGCAAACATCCTTTGTGATAGAATCAAGCAGTGACAGGTCCTCTTTATGGAGAGATATGGGGTCAATAAGACCCCACATCTCTTTTCTACAATGTAAAGCATTAGATTAAAAAAAAGCATTGATCTAGAGCTTTAAAAGAATGAAAAAAAAAAATTAAAAAAGACCTTATTTACAAGGCGCCTCAACCGGAAATGATTTAATGGCGTCGTTAATCCGGTCCTCCAATGGCATGAGATGAGTGGAGGCCATCTTTCCTTCAC